CAGAAGACTGTTCGATACCCAATTTGATGAATAATTCCAGGCATCAATTTCTATAACTTGCAATCAACATTTGAAAAGGTCAGAAAAGATGTCTTTATCTAAGGTAATAAATGGATTCGGATTTGATAGATCATTTCAAAATAATCTTGCAGCCGGTTAGCTTAAAAATGGTATTCTTGAACCAAAAGTTTTTCGGCGAGCAAAAGTTGATTTGATTGCCCAGATCTTTTTGTGCAACATAAAATTTTTTTTAGACCAAAATTCACTTTTGGTTTATAAATATTTTTTCTATGGATTTTATTGTAAATATTCTATCCTTTCGAATATTTTTACATATCAAAAACGATTGGATGATATTTACTTTAACGTTTTTATTGATCCAATTGGATGAAAAGGTGCTTTAAATATGGATATCGTGCAGGCCTCTTAATTTATTAAAAGAGATAATATGGCGCATTACCAAAAAAATTTTTTACTTTATAAAATTTTTTTTGAAGTTTCCTCCCTATTCAAAACGCCCATATGTTTTCCAGCACTCACTCCAAATGTATGTTATATTTAGGCGATAACGAAATTTACGATATGGAATACAAAAGCGAAACGTTTATTATTACTTTAGCTTAGAAAAGATTAAGGGTCGCTTCGGCCGACGATTTTTGCGCCATTCGTTGTTTTAGATCGTAGTGATTAGATATTTTTCGCCTTTGGTTTTTTTCTATCTTTCCTTTTTAACATTATTCTTTTTTTTTCATTTTATTTATTTTTTTTTTTATTTTTTTTTTCGGATTCACGGAGTGCGGATCAATCTGCCGGAACTGTTGTGGAATTTTGTTTTTTATTATTTTTATTATTATTATTTTGTTAACTAGTTTTTTTATTTTTATTTTTTAGACGACTTTTTAGGCCATTTCTTTCGGGTTGATAAAGTTTTTTTAGACAAACTTTCGAGCTCGATCGCTTCAGGGTGTAGCGATTTACGTTAAACGTATTTTTTTTTTTTTTTTTTTTTAGATCGCTTCGATTGATGCGCCCTTTTTTTGAAAAAAATTTTTTGTGTCATTTCTTTCGGGTTGGAATGAGATTTTCATTAAATTAATTTTTTTTTTTATTTATTCTATTATTTTCCAGTCGATTTGGATTGAGTTTTTCATTAAATTAATTTTTATTTATTTGTTTATTTTTTATTTTACAGTCGGGTTGATTGAGTTTTTATTTTATTATTTTCTAGTCGGGTTGGTGAAGAAAGTCTTTAATACTTCATTCACAATAATCTCGGTCGCCAAGGTCAATAAGGTCGGATATTTTTATCGGGGAGTGTAGCACATTTAAAAAATTTGAATGAGAAATCATAAATAATAACACAAATTTTTTTTTTCACCTCATTTTCCTTCCAACAATTCATTATTAAAATTGAAAATGCAGAGTTCAAATAATTCGAATGATTGGGTTAATTGTATAAAGAAGCTATTTATAAAGAGCTATATTAATATTACGATTATTGATATTTTTAGAGAAATTGGAGGATTCGGAATAATCTATCGAGCAAATTGGAAATTGTTCTGATAAATATTTTAGCATTAAAATTTAACGTTGCACGCCTCGGTATTCAGAAAAATTTTCTAATTTGAAATCTTGTTTTTATTAGCTCAAACTTCACCGGGAGGTTGATTTTCATGGTAATTAATATCTATAGTTACCATTTCCAAAGGATGGTACACAAATTGAATTTAATTGACCAAATAAATTGATATTTAATATTTTTTTCCTCTATTTATAAAATCAATCAATTATTAAAAAAGAAGTGATCATAAACTTTGATTCTATTTAAATAACAATTTACTTGGAAAGATAAGAACTAACTAGCAGAAGAACGAATTATACATTGTGATTTGGTAATACATCATATTAGGCCACGCACTTCGGTTCACGTCACCCGGCCGGGTCACCTTTTAAATTTTAACTAAAAAAATTTATGTAAAAATTTATCAAATTAATACGGTAATTAATACGGTATTAACATTTTATTGACTTTACTGATTTTTTATATTTCTTTTGTTTCTTCTCTTTTTTACTTCCAACTGATATGGAAACCGATTATAACCAATCACATCCTTACAATTTACATTTTTTTTTATTAATAAACAATAAACCGGGGTCAATTTTAAAATTTTAAGGTTACGTGAACCGAAAATGCTAATTTGCGTGTCCTTATCTAATGAAAGTGATATTTGCATAATACAATTTTTATTTAATTTTTTATTTAAAATAAGCACTCCAAAGATATTGGCTAATTTTGGGTTATCCAAGAGATCCAATAAGTTTTAATAGGCGGAGTACTTGTCTCTTTTTTACAATATGATGTTGATCTGCTGTGAAACGAGGAATATGAACGTTAAATTATAATTTAAAATATCATTAATGATACTTTCAGAATGTTGGGGTGATGAACCAGATAAACGTCTAGCTATGGATCTATCAAGGGCCCCTGATTGTGATGATTGGAACCGCGTCGTGATAATTGAAGTGATATCTACTAAGTTTACTAGTATTAAAATGGCCAAAGTGTACATGGTTAGTTACACTTATGTTACTTAGGAGAATTATTCTCAAATGTACGATACGGTTATCTTAATGTGATATCTTCGTAATCAGGGGACCTAACTATCATCGGCCAATGGTAAATAGGTAATGGAGCCAATTTAAGAAAATTAGTCGATGAATTTCTGAGAGATTAAATAAGAAATACGAGTATAGTTGATTGATAATAATATGAATTTTCAAGAATTTTATGATTTGCTGTTAAAAATTCAAAATGATTCATCTTGATATATTTGTTAATGATACAATGTAGGAACAAGTAATAACTATGAAAAGACATTCATTAACGGCGTCAGAGCCTAATCACATATTAGCGCAATATTTGCTGGTTTGAAATATTATTATCGGAAATGGGATGGCTTTCAAGTATTATGGAAACAGCTAATCAAGGTTATGTAGCGGACAAAGTGATATTGGCTCTGCGTTATTATGGTTGTTTGAGGCTTTTTATTTTTTAGCAAAAACCTGTTCCACCTTTTAAAAAGTAGGAATCAATTACTTATAATCATTACATCAATGTTTGAAGAAACTTCGCTACAAACCGGTTCATGACCTGATGGCACGTGAACAATTTGAGGCTTCGTCAATAGAAACGCACCATATATCATCATAAATAAGATGGTGCGTTTCTATTGAAGAAGCCACATGTGTGGCCAAGCATTTATGAATATTTAAGGTAAACAAATAATAGGAATTGAAACTTTAACTCACAACATTCAAAGAAAATAGTATTAATTAATCGGAGGGTAAAGAAAATGGACAAAATTTTATTGTTCTGCTAATTGAGTCGCAGTTAACATCAATTTTACATCGGTCGCTTTTAGACCAGCTAAAGTTTCTTTATTATTTAGTTTAAAGTTTAAATATTGTAAAATTAGAATAACAATTTGGTATCTTTAGCCTGAAAATCATCTTTGGCATATAAAAAAAAGATATATCCCCATTTGGTATGTATTACAACAAATTACCGAAAATTGATTACACAAAGTTAAAAAGATTTTATCAAATTCAACTTCTCGTAAACTTGAAATGTGATGTAACATCGAAAATAATCATTTACAATTGGATTATCTATTTCATGGAAGAGTGCATATCCGAATCCGAACTTGATGAATAATAGTTATTCTACGTGGAGCCGAGGAGAGTATTGAAAATATGGAAAATCAATGCTCGATGTTGATAAATAATATGCTACTATCAGGAAAAAAAAAGTCATGGATAATCAAATTGTACAATATATAAAAAGAGATAAAAATCATTAAATGAATTCGGTCCGTTTTTAAAAACTTTACAAAGCAACGGTCAGCCGATTAATATTACTTTCCCTTTCCCCGAATTTTTTATGGGTAAAAAAATCGCACCGGTTTCAAATGATTGAAGTTAAAATTGTCCATCATAACTAATGAAAATATATCAAAAACAAATTTTACCGCTTTCCTGAGTTCTATTTTTATGTTTATGTATTCTTTATTGTTTTACTTTAAGCAAGTAGAGAATGTGATAATGATTTGGAGGTGAAAACAAAGACGGCAGCATCACAGACTTCTATAAATATTAAGCTGGCTAAATAAGATGATCTCTCGCTTTTTAATATTTTAATCTTCTGGTACTAATGTAATGCGTGAACTTCTTCCTTGCGCGTCTTCACTTGGAATTCATGTGATACGCACAACAGCGTTATGGCATTCACTCAATAATGACAGTCTGAACAATTACAATGTCATTGGCACTATAATTCCTCCTACAAGCTAAAAGCCAAGATTTCAACAAAATTAGCTGTATATCCTTCTTTCATGGTCAAATATGATATACTCAGTACACACACCTCGTCGTTATACTTGTATTTCAAAATTGGAGTTGTATTGCTGGAGGTATTGTAACAATTATGGCTGCAGAAGGAAATGTCCTCGTGATACTGAAACTGTACAGCTACATAATGATGATAGTGTTTGAGATGTTGCAATTATTATAACTGCAATACATCAATCAATCCTGACATAATAATTTTCCAAATCTAGTTTCGATGAATTCAAGTAAATTATTACGTGAACCCCAAAGGTTGCCTTACTATAATTTTAGTTAGATTTCGAATTTTGCATGCCTTAATGCTTTAACGTTAAAGTTTCACCGGTTTGATTTGGCAATCAGCTTTAGCGGGATGGCAAGATTATTTTATCGATTATAAAGTTTGTAATCTTGAAAATGCTTATTTTGGTAATAACGAGACAATCATTAAAGAAATTCAAACATAAAGAATTATCTCAATATTATTTACAAGACTTTGTCTCCATTTTAATTTTCGCCGAAATCTATCAATATTATTTTCAAGCAAATAAAAGTTACAAAGTAAGGATTGTTAATTTCATTCGCGGATCTCACAATATTCATAGAGTTTACATCTTAATCCCAAAAAAAAACTTCGCACTTAGATGGGTTCGCTAATCTGGTAAATAATTGAATTGAAGAATTTATTAAAGGAAGTCCTTTTTATTTATATTTGTTTTTTTGTAATTGTCGATTTCTATTCCACTAAAATACATCGAATAAGAAATAGGGAAGACAGAAATAATTATTAAAATTCAATGTTTTTCACTGAAAAATTCTTCGACGCGTTGCTTCTAACAAAATGGTGTTGGATTTTATATCGGTGATAATTAATCGTATCAGATAATTATTCATAAAGCTTATAAACGGATATTCATCCGAATATATATTTTGAATGGAAGCTTCTAAATTAGTCAAGCCCGGGTCAACTCAATATTTGTCATTACAAAAGTTTCAATTTATTGTATAAAACGAGAGAAATAAGATTTTAAGCATCAAAAAAAAAAAATTTTTTACGAACAACGCTTTGGTATTCTAAAGTATGAAAGTTTCATTCGTTATATGACTTTTTTTGCAGTAGACACGGAGGAATTTCTAAAAAACATTTGGAATAATGCTAAATTTGGATATGTATTACTTTAACATAAAAGATCCATATTCTCTCAAGTAATGATTGTAAAGATCAAAAATACTGAGGGTGAACAAAAGTATCTGAACACATTTCTTAGAAAAAATCTCAAAATATATTGTATAAAATTTTCATGCAATTTAATCAGTAGATGTAGAAATATATTACTAATTTCATATTTTACAAATTACAGAGTGGATAAACGTTTCTGAATACATTTTTTAGAAATCAAACAAAAATACAACTAGATATCTCTTCTTTACAAACAAATAAACAAATTTTATTAAACTGAAAAACACAAATAAATAAAAAAACAAACTACTTTAACTAAAAATATGAAACAAACTTCTATTAATATAATACACAATATATTGCCCTTAGAAATATTACAAATAGCCAAACTTTAAAAGCTAACAAACTGAAACTTTTCAACTGGTTAATATGAATATTAATATTGTTATCACTTCTTCTTTATCCTATGTTCTTCTTCTTATTATAACAAAACACTATACATGCAATTGATATAAACAAAACTAATAAATTATCAGTAAAACTAGAGATTGAAATTGATTTTAATATTTAGAATTGATTTATGAATTGATTTTATTTATGATTATCATTTCTTAAGATTCAATTCAAAGATTCAATCAATTTTTGATTAATTGAATTAAATCAATTTTACACATTAAATTTTATAACATAGTTAAATCTGAAGACTGATCCAAGAACTATATAATTTTAATGATAATAATTTATTACAAAAATAATACTATACAATTTATAAAATTTTATGATTTAAATATTTCTGAAAAATTTAAGAGGTAGTTATATAATAATTTTAGATGATCTTGGGCGGTCAGATACTTATGACTACTACTGTAAGATGAAAAAATGAAATTAAGAAACTGAAATAAAACTATATAATAAAATTAAGAGAATGAGACAAAATGAAAAAAATGAAATTAAACAAATGAAAAGAAACTATAAATAAAATTAGGAAAATGAAACAAAAAAAAAAATGAAAAGAAACTATAAAACAAAATTAGAAAAATAAAATAAAATGAAAAATAAAATTAGGAAAATGAAATTAAATGAAAAAATGAAAAAGAAAAAATGAAATTAATTGTACAATATGAAAGAAAAAATGAATAATATAAAAAAAATGAAATTAAACGAATAATAAAAAAAAAACTGAAATTTTATTGCCTTGCAGGTATTACCAGCACATCATGATTTTACCATCTATTTCAATTTTACTTCGTAGGCTCATCACAGTTTTGCTTTGTATTTGTATTTATCTTATATTAGATAAATTACGATTTCTCCTACGAATATGCCTCGATTCTAAAAAAATAAATATATTTAATATAAATCTAAAAAATCATTTAAACATTTTTAATTATTACCTAGCCTATCCCAGAATTGAATCCTAAAGAGGTCGTATAATCTTTTCATAGTATAGGTCTACTTTTCACCTCTTTTCACTCTATTTTAATAATTGTAAAAATCCTAAAAAATATTAATTATACTGTTGAATTATATTTATCATTATATTGCTATTAATATTATTTACTTATATTTTAATCCTGTACTAAATTCCTTTATTTTAACTCACATTGGCAAGTTGAATATGCAGTATCAAATCTTTGATTGATTCGTCAAGTTATATTCCTTTAGAATCCCATCTTATTGCCTCTGTATCTTACATAGTACTCTTCATTTCTTCTTCTTCTTTCTTCAACTAATAAATCAATTTCAGTATCCTCCTAAATGATTCTTGTAATCATTTTTATGTTTATAAATAATATGATTTAATAGAGTAAATTAAAGTAATTTAAAAGTTGATTTAAATTTCAAAGGGTAAAAAATTATATAATAGTAAAAAATACTTCCTTTTATAAATAAATTTATTCATTAATTTGATATCTTGTGAAATTCTTTATTCATAATTATTGATTGAAATTCTAATTTATATTAAAACAAAAAGTTAAAATAATAATATAAGCAGTATATTATAATTGTATATCATATTTATAAAAATTAGATCAATCCAAATATAATAAGCAAAACTTATGATTAAAATAATACAAAAAGAACTTTTTATGATCAAAAATTCTGATTTATATAAAAACAAAAAGTTAAAATAATAATACATCGTATTATTTATAAAAATTAAATCAATCCAAAAATAACTTACACAAATTAATAAATATAATACATCAGATAATCAGAGTAGATCAAATCATCACTTCAGTGATAAATAAAAAATTATTATAAAATTATTCTACAATTTAGTAAAAAAATCAATAAGCGATTTTAACACAAATTCAACAAAAATTGGTTAAAATTAATAAAAAACAATGTAATTTCTTGACATAATTTCAACAAAATTTTAATAAAATTTTAATATGATTACAGGGGTGTTATTTAATCAATATATCAAAATTTCTTATGATTATGATGTCATTTTATTCTGTAAAAAGTAAAAATAACTGTAAATATTATTGTGTAATCCTTCAAATTACTATTTTATTA